GACGCGTTTCAGAAAGGCGGGGCATAGAGGAGAAACAATAATGTACAGTATGTGGAAAATGATGTTTTTTTAACCTTAAACCGCATAAACACATTTCATTACACCAAATACACAAAATAATGTTCTTTTTAGCAACATCATATGACCCCTTTAATTCTGTTGCTGAATAGTCTTTACCTCAAAAAATGAAATCACTGTTTAATTTTATGTTCCATATAGGCTACTATGTTTTTCCTGTTTCTAATTTGCATCTTTAAGATAAAAAAGAACTATGATATATATTGTTATTGTGAAATAAATTGAAAATTGTCTTTGACAAAGGTTTATACAAAACAAACGTTACATACATATACCTTGCCCCTGAAGATCTGCTAAAGGTTGCCTGAATACTCACCTTTTGAGAAGAGATTTTATCTGAGCTCATTTAAGAATAGCAAAATTAAAATAATATAGGGCATAAAAATCAATCACTGATAAAGTGACTTGAGGAAGGAGACACAAATGCGTATTCAATTTACTTTTATATATTACAGCAGGTGTAAACAAACAATAATAATAACAATCACACAAGATACACAAATGTATAAACTGACAGTGAACATGTAATCACATAATGTAGCAACCTAGTTACAGCATTTTGGATAGCGACAGTGCAGTTTGAATTCTAAACACATCTGTAACCATTCCATAAAGACCACATTAATTAAATTACGATCTTCAGTTATGACCATCAATATTTTTATTTGGGGGCTAAGCTATTGTAGTTTGTACAATAAGACAATCACCAATTCTCCACTATTTACATTCTCAGAAAGCGCACACAGAACAAAGATGCATATATTCAGCCATCCCACAAATCCCAAGTGAATGTACGTCATCGGTGTATCTGATGTGAGGGAGCAGCTGTGAGAAAGACAGTAGGCTGTATAGTTATCTCCCAGATCTGGTGTGATCCCAAACTATACAAACTACTACCTCATTCCACAGCTGCCAATGCAGCAGCCTCTCTGTCTGGTACCCTACGGGAGGAGACATAAGGCAGAAAGACATGTCAGTGTTAAAAATAAAATGCTTACTTGTGCTATTTTTACTCTAAATTTAATGAACCACCTTTGCCATTGCTAATTTGATTTTCATAAATCCCTCAGTGAAAGCTGTCGTTCGTCGTCATTCTTTAACCCAGTATTAACCTTCCTCACACATCCACACCATGTGGGCAGATTTCTGGCAATACAGCTCATCTTTTGAAATATGAGTCAAGATGAAGATGAAGAACAAAGAGATTGCACAAATGGATCAAGGATCTGGTGCTCTGTGGCATTTGATGTGATAAATGTACCACTTATATGTGCTCATTAATGACGCTTAAAGAGCAATGGCAAAAAATCATGAACGCTGGGTATTAAATATTGATTTGCAATAATATATTATGCATTACAATATATGCACAACTGTATTTCACTGCATGACTACATCCCTGGTTATATGCATTATACAGTGCACTGCATTTGTAAAGATGATGCAAGAAAGGAAATCGCTGTGTCAGTATGTAGTAGGACCAAGTGAAATTAGGCAATGAAAAATTTTCACATAGCCTACTTCACAGTGGTCTCTTAAACATATTTATAATGCACCCCAGTTGGAAAATCCATCTTAAGCTGATGGCTGATTTATAGAACATGTAACTGGTTTCTTGACTGTTTGTTGCTGATCCATGATGGTCTACCAGTTTGTACCAGCTCGAATCTCAAAACTCATCTACCATCTTTCCAGCACACTGATGTGCACATTTGAGCAATGCAAGACTCAAACATCTTTGCATCAAAACAATCTGCATGTGAACTGAATGCTAGAGCTAATTATGACTGTCCACATGGTCTATTATTATTGCAAACCATCCATACGGGCTTACTTGAGTCTCAGGAATCAACAGCTGACAGAGGCATGATAATGCATGTCAGTCTGATGTGTTTGAATCACAAGAGGCGTTTCTGTTGAAGCGTAGACTGTCTGGCCGCCAGATTAACTTTATCATGACAAGTAGAGACACGCGTGCGATTATCAAGCGTTTTATCAAGAAATTCCATCTTTACAAATCAAATCGGCAACCTAACTTCATTGACTTGCCGCTTGAAATGGAGCATTCTGTCGGCTAATATTTCAGAGAAAATTGTAGACCTGCATGAATGATCTGCTCCTCTTTTCTCATGACATTGCGATCATATACTTTATAGTTATGCTATCAAATACGAAAAATGGCGCTTGCCTCACTAGTGCACCCGGTATGAAAATCAATAAATTGCATTCTAAAACAAACCTATTCATCATATTAAACTGAAATGTGTGTAGGCAAGTGCAAGACAGAATGCAAATGTCGCGCCAGTGTTCGCGGTGACTGCGGCAATAACATTTCAAAGAGAGAACGTGGTCTTTCGCTCACCTGAGACCGCGACTGTACATGATACCGCCATCTTACATCAGCAGCAAGAGCAGAGATAACACTAGCTGCAGGCACGCAGATCTACTCCTGAGGTGACCTGCCCCTTAAGTGATCCGATCCGCCTTCCATTCAGTTCATGACTACATAATTAGGTGGACTACAAAGTGTGCAGTTCAGTAGTGGATGTCAAATGTCACAAATTCAAAAAAAACTGCATCACCTTTTGAAAATGTTATGCTTAGAAATATGATTGGCCATTGCACGGAGGTTCTTTTTCTATTTGGTGATTATTAAAAGTATATTTTAAATATTCTATTTTTAAACATTCTACAAGTGTGAAGTGTTCATAGTATTTTATCAAGCTAAGCTTAAAAATTGTTTTCAAATGTAAATGTTATGCAGTTAATTTAGCTCTCTGCTCAAGGTCAAGGTCATTAGATATTTATTAGGACTAGAACATTCTAATTATATAGATATTTATTAGGACGAGAACATTCTAATTATATATTTCTACAAGTTATTTGTTAAAAAAGAAAAAAGAAAATAGCCATTAGATTGCAATGACTGCATGCAATAATACTATATGGAGCTTAATTATCCTTTTTGAAATTTGTAATACTTTTCAGTAATGTTTTGAAATGTTTAGTTTAATGACATTGTATTAATTTTATCACTTTACAATAAAGTTCAGTGTTAACAGTTAATGCTTTAGGCATAATGAATAACGAACAAATATTGTGAAATATTAATACAATTTAAAAGAACTCTTTTCCATTTTAAAATCTTTTAATATGTAATGCATGCCTGTGATGGCAAAGCTGAATTTTCAGCAGTCATTAGTCTTCAGAAATCATTTTAATATGCAAATAGGTTCTCAAGAAACATTTATTATCAATGTTAAAAGCTTGAGATAATCAATGTCTTTAAAATAAACAAAAATAAAAACCCAAACTCCTGTTTACTAAAAGAATAAATTTTATTTCAGCACTGTAAGTCATTTCCCAACCATACAAACATGACTGCCAACTTTGAATCTCTCTCTCTGAGCCTTTTGGCTTTCTCCCCAATCCACCATGAAATCAGACCACAACAGCAAGACAAATTAAAAAGAAAAAGTTTCTTTTTCAGGTGCTTTCTTTATACTAAAAATGAGAAATTGTTAATAACGATCATAACCATAACAGCAATAATAATAATGAACTTTACCCTTCACTTCACAAGTTTTTGGAGATCTTGATGCATGCATCAATGCGTTTGTGTTGATGAACGGATCGGTTTTCCAAGAACCGACGACAGAATGTGTTGCCTACAAATGGATGTCGACTTGATGGTCTTGGGGGCACATGCTAGAAAGCAATGGGGACGAGATACTTCCAGAAAATGTAGGATGTCAGCGGGGCCACTGTACACAACACATTGCTGTTATCAGACTAGGATTGAAACCTGACCACACTAGTGGTCCTGTGGAGTGAAGGGCGACAGAGCCAGGATACAGGGGTAACAGTAATAAAGCAAGAGTCAGATCTGAGGTCCAGACACAAATCTACAGGAATGCACAGGCAAAACTCTTCACCAAAATAGCTGTTGTGTGTGTGTGTGTGTGCATGGTTACAGTATGTGTTCACACTTAACCTATCCATGACTACACTGAAGCTACATTTTTTCAGAGGGACGATACATGTGCATGGGAGCTGAAGAAGTGTTCTAGGGTTAATCGCTATGAAGAGCTGTGTCCAAGGCTCCACTTGAGAGGAAATGAAGAAATCTTAATTTTAGCAATAAAACTGGACGATACTAGATTTAGCCACTGTTCACCAAAAAGATGTAAACACATTTTCTTCATTTAGTATCTGCTTACAGACCACTTACGTATTCTGATAGCTCAATTACTGAAAACACATAGCTGTATAATCATATATACAGGATCCAGAAAGAGAATCAAGACTGTTTACTATATACTGGAATAGTAGTATCCAGAACTTTGACTTTGGTTGAAAATTAATATTTTGTACAAATGTGTATTAGTCTGTTTTGTGTGCAAGGAAGCAAAATTTGCT